TAACATTTGCCAATCCTCTTCTTTTTTTGCTGAGGAAGACTGGCCGTGGGCTAACATCCGTGCCCATCTTCCTCCACTTTATATGGGATGCTGCCACAGCATGGCTTGCCAAGCAGTGCATCGGTGGGCACCCAGGATCCAAACTGGCGAACCCCGGGCCGCCGCAGCGGAGCGCACGCACTTAACCACTTGTGCCAACGGGCCAGCCTCCCGACTGTTGAATCTTAAGACAAGTCACTTAACCTCTCCAGGACTGGTCACTTCACACTTGTAGACTGGGGGGACGACAGCATCACTGTCTCTCAGGTTTCCTGAGGTCAGAACCCCACTGTGAGTAATCTAAGACAGCACAGTGCTCTACAGTGTATAGATAGGGTACTTCCAACTCAATGAGAATGGACGTGCAGTTGCACTGTAGTCCACAAAGAACCATACAAATACCATTTATTTCTATCAATGTCATTATTCACTTACACAATAGCAATGGAGAAAACCCATTTGTAGGATATGATTCAAAGAGATGGTAAATTTTCCAATTTCAAAGAACATTTTAGACACCTTCCTGGGCCTTCCCTCCCCAGCTCCAGCCCCACCCAACAGGGAAGCCCAGGCTGAAGCTCCTCGTCCACACCACAGGTGGGCTGTGTGTGGGCCCGGTGGGGAGAGGCAGGGGCAGCACTGCCCCGAGAATCCAGCCTGGAGCATTTGAGATGGCAGGACAACAAAAGGAGGGGAAGGCCACACAACTACAGAACTCCTACTAGCACAGCCAGCTGAGGAACTGAGTCGAAAATCCATATGATTACAACTATGTTTATAAAAACAAAAATCTTTACTTATAGACATCAAAATGTTACCCATGGTCACTTTGGGGAGGTAAAACTACAGGGGATCTGTCCTTTCCTCCAACTTTAAATTTTCTTTAATGTGTTTTATAATGAAAAATAATAAGACTTGGGAAGGGGATGGGTCTTGAACACAACATTCACCAAACACTACTGCCCCACAGTTTTCAGGCCCTAACCAGCAAGTGGTCTTTGAAGGGTTTTCTCGTGAGATTTTCAGCTATTGAGAACAAAAATGTGAACACAGAAAAGGTATTTTAACATCATAAAAATCCTCTGAGGAAAGTTCCTTTTTTTTTTTTTTTTGAAACCAACTGAGCTAAGCGCCATCCTCCTCTCACCCAGCCGCAGATCCATCCTGCTTCCAAACCGAGCATCAGACCACGTCGCAGCATCAGACCACCAGCAGCACCATGGCCCAGCCCTTCTGCTAAGCAAAGTCCTTTACAGTGATTCCTTCCCTCATGCTCCACAGTGAGCTCCTATGTGGGCAGACAAAGGCCCCAAAGGGGCACTGATGGATCTGGGATCTTTGGGGCAGTGCTACGCCAAGCATGGTCCCCCAACTGTTTGATGTCCATCTGCAACGAGCAAGGAGCTCCAGCCACTAGCCACTGTTGAGTTCGGCTGGCATTTTTTTCGTAGCAGGATTTTCTTGATGAAGGAAACAGTACAAGGATCAACACCACAGTGACACTCCCTGTCCTGAAGTGAACGGTCTGTGTGTGAGAATTTTCTCACCTCGGACCCCGGGGTGAAGACTCTGGGCCAGAGATGAAATGGGCTTTGAAGAAGCTGCAGGGACAGGACCCTCCCAGGCACGGGTAGTCAGAAAGGGCAGGAAGGAGGGAGGAGGGCCTCACCCCAGGCTGTGAGAAGTCAACGGCCCTTCCACCACCATCGGTTCCGCCCAGACGTCCTGCCCAGGACCCACTGAGAGAGCAGGCAGAACCAGGGCCAGTAGCGTGGACGAGAGCCCAGAGAGCTCCCGGGCAAGACACAGACTGCAGCAGGAGCAAAGCAGACATCCTGTGACAGCCAACAGAGGCCACAAGGGCAGCCAGAGGAGGCTGGGACAGGGAACTTGGCATTAATGTACTGCCATTTCATCAGTAATTGCCTACACTATAAAACCAAGCTCAGTTTTACTGAACCACTCCTAACAGGCTTACCTTTTTGTCTTCCTTAGTCTTTCTAACATTTCGATGGGGACCAAAAATGTTTTGCATCCCAAAAGCCTTCCTGGACCAGTCCCTTTTCTGGACGCTGAGCAGGGGCTGTGCCAAGCTGCCCTCCATCCTGTAGCGGTCCGCGGGAATCTTGCTCATGGGAGGGGGCAGTGTGCCGCAGTTGACACTGGACCACCCGTCGGTGGAGTCCGTGTAAGACTCCTGGTCGCTGGCATGTCCGCACTGCCACTCTTGCAGGACGTGGACTGGGAGCCACCGCTGGCCAAAACCACCGCCAGCGCCCATGGCGCCCCTCTTGGAAGGAGGAACTGAACTCCTCAAGGAGGCCGGGGGGACCTCCACATGAGAAGCGGGCCCTAAATGCTTACCGAAGTCCCGAAACCTGTCAGCCTGTGGAGTGGCCTCAAACGTGGGTCCCCCCTCAGGGTCGTGGGAGAAGGGCGCGTTCCAGGGGGCGCCCCAGGGCTGGGAGCCCCTGCCACCTGCACCCTCCCAGGTGCTGCTGCTGGCGCCATGCCTGCCCGAGCTGGCGCCCAGGTCAACCACAAGCACCCGGCTGCTCCTTTCTTCCTGGTTGAAATTCCCAATGCCGCTGTCACTGTTGCTGCTGGTGCTGGTGTTCTGGTGGGCATCCGCGTCCCCATCCGCAAAGGCCCGGGCCCGCACTCCCTCAATCAGCTCGCCCATGTCTCTGTACAGCACAGAGATGAACTGGAGGACAGGGAGAGAGGATGCTGGGAATTCAAGGCAGCCGTTGGTGTCGGGGTCGGCTGTGCACTCAAACCCAAACCGCCGAGCGATACCTTGATGGATCTTGTGATTGAACAAATCTGGATCCACCATAAACACGTGGCAGGAAGTCCGCAAGACGCCTTCATCCTCCTGTGCCAGGCTCCCATCATCACTCGTCTGCATGGTCACAAGCCCGAAAAACCTCCTGTCGTCCGGGCACACAGCACTGAACGCCAGCTTCTCGGCTGGGTACTCGGCCAGGACAGCAGCCTTGTCGGTGCAGAGCTGCACGCAGTCATGCATGATCTTCATGGTTACTAGAGAATGGATTTTCTGCTCTGCCCGCAGGCGCCGCAGGCAGCCACGGATGGCCTGCAAACTGTCGGACTCCAAGTTGCAACTTGTGGAAGGAAGTTCAATAGAACCTAAGTAGCCTACAACCATGGCAACATTTAAAATACTTGCATCCAATCCAAAATCTTCATGATTCTCTAGTCCAATACTGAAAACCGAATCATCGTTAATAACTTTTGATATTTCCTCTTTAGAAAGCAGGCTGGGATTCCGATTATTTACATTTTCATGCCCAAGGTCAAATCGTGCAGTAGCCGACTCTGAAAGGGATCTTTGTTTCAATTTCAAGGGCTCTGAACTGCTTGCCCGAAGACTAGGATTTTCAAAGATCATATTGAAAATTCCACCAGACTGCATTTCTTCAACGACTCTCTCTGCTCTATTTATACCTAACGCTTTAGAATCAAGTTTGGGCCTCAGCCAGCCTTTTCCTTCATAAAATCCAACTTCTTCATCACTGGAACAGGACTCTAAGTGGCCGATACCTTCACCAATCACCATGTGTAGGACACCAGAACATTTCCCAATCAATTTCACTACGTCTTCATGGGATGCTTTCTTCACGTTGATTTCGTTGACAGCAAATATCTGGTCACCAGCACGGAGGCCCACAAAATCCGCAGGGCTCCCTCTCATGACACAGCTGAGCACGCAAGGCGCCTGACCAGAGAGGGTGAATCCGTACCCTGCTCTCCCTCGGGCCACCTCCACACTCCTCATGCGAGGGGGCGCCGTCCCATGCAGCGGGCGCTCTGCTGTGTCCCCTGCTCTATACATCTTGATGTGCTTCTACGACCAGGAGCATAGTTCATTATTCCAAGGGATCCATAGTTCAGGGAATGCTTGATGCTACCATATTTTTTCTTGAAATAATGCCCTAAGGAAGAAAAATTAATAGCACATTATTTAAAAGCCCATATTTCTTTCGCTTACTGGTATTACCTAAACATAAAAAGATAATTCATAACAAAAACCATCATAGCAAGAGTCTCTAGTTACTACATAAATGTTAAAGTGAAAGAGAAGCAGTAAATCTTAAAGTCAGGCTAAGAATTTCCTTCCAAAGTAGAAAACATTTCCCAGGACAGGTTTTCTTCACAACATTGATCTCTCTGAGGCTGATCCCGCCTTGGGTTTGAGGAATACAGGACTCCAACAGAATGTGCCTCCTGGCACTCTTCTCCTCCCTGTCTGGATGGAAAGAGACCTCGAGATCCTTACTACTCAAAGTGTGGTCCAAAAACCAGCAGCCCGGCCTCCTGGGGGCTCTCGGGCTCTTCCCCAGATCCAGTGCGTCCAAGTCTGCATTTAACAGGAGGGGCAGAGTCAGAGTGAAAAAGCAGCGCTGGCTACAGACGTGGGGTAGAAAGGCACTGGATGACCCCTGGTCCAGCCCCGTCTCAGATCACAAACCCCTGCCATGAGAAGTTTTTCCTCAGGAAAGTGAGTGAGCTTATATTCTCTCAAATTCCATGCCCCTCACTAATTTATTTTGAACATGGTACCATGTGGGGAAAACATTAGCCTGACACGGCCTCAGTCAGTACTACAGAGATCACATAACAGAATAGATAAAACCACCAGAAAGAGCAACCGAATTTAATACTAACTTAATTATTCCAGGGGATGACTTGCTAATTAAAAGTATTGGTTATCATCGAAAACAAATCTGTGTCAGGTCCCCAAGACCTCCCCCAGGTTCAATGACTCACTAAGAGGACACACAGGACCCAGCATATAGTCATGCTCACGGCTCAGATTTATCACAGTGAAAAGATACAAAATGAAGTTAGCAAAGGGATAAAGCAAGTTAGGTGAAGTCCAGTGGAAACAGGTGCCAGCTTCCAGGATCTTCTCCTGTGGCATCACAGGGGTTGTGCTCAATTCCCCCTGCAGCACGTTGTGACAACACGTGTGGCGTGCTGTCCACCAGGGAAGCCCGTCAGAGGCTCAGAGCCAGGGCTTTCTTTGGGGGCTGGTCCCGTGGGTCCCTGTGCCTCGCACGTGCCCAGCTCTGGACCCCCAGGAGGAAAGGGGCGTCAGCACAGACCGCACTGTTTGTTAGGGTGCTGGGAACCCTCCCGACATGCAGGCTCCCGGACGCCAGCCAAGGGCCAGGCCCGCACAGGCCTCTCAGGGCCCGGTAGTCAGGCTGCAGTGAGACGTCTTTTCTACACAAAACCCTTTCAAGATCACTTTAAAAAGCAATACAGCAAGTGTTTATGTTGTAAAGATCCAAAATATAATGGAGAATATGTTCTTTAAAGAGTGTATGTTTTTGAAATAATTGTTTTAAAGTTGTTAGAAGAAATTCTTGTGTCTCGGGATAAAGTTTCCAGTAACAGAAGCATAATTCAAAGTAATTTACACACACACAAAAAGAGAAAGAACTAGACGAAATGGAAAGTATATTATTAGATGACTCCAAGAGTAGCTTCAAAGATGATGATATGTAGGATGCATGTTTGAATAAAATTATTTTATGATACATAAGAGTGAAAAAATAACAATTTAATTCTAAATTACCATATTATTTAACATCTAAGCGGTGCTAAATTAATCATTTAAATATTATGACTAGACATAACTATTTAATATTCATCACTAAAAACGTATATATTAAAGTTGGCCAAGAATTTTATTTTAGGGTCCTCTCACTGGATCTTCTTAAAGGGTATGGTGGGCTGAATAATGCCCCCCACCAAATATGCCTAATCTCAGGACCCCATGAATGTCACCTCACGACCAAAGGGACCTTGCAGATGTGATCGAGTGAAGGATCCTGGATGGGAGGTTATCCTGGGTTCTCCAGGTGGGCCCCAAGTAACGACAGGGTCCTTATCAGAAGGAAGTAGGAGGGTCAGAGTGAGAGCGGGGCATGTGATGACAGAAGCAGAGATTAGAGCCACTGGCTGTGAAGATGGAGGAAGGGGCCATGAGCCAAGGGCTGCAGGCAACCCCTAGAAGCCACAAAAGGCGAGGAAACAGATTCTCCCCTGGGGCCTCCAGAAAGAATCAGCTCTGCCTACACCTGGACTTCAGCCCAGTGAGACTGACTTTGGACTTCTGATCCCCTGAACTGTAAGAGAACACAGTTGTGCTGTTTTAAGCCACTAAATTTGTGGTAACTTATTTCAGCAGCCACAGGAAACATGTACAAGGGGAATCACCCTATTGGTGGGGGAGGGGGATAGAGGATATGCATGAAATAACCTGTCTAAAAAATGCTCAGACAGGATCTGGCTCCTGGCAGACGCGACACATCAAAGCGGCTGCTGTTCCCGATGTTACTGCAAGTGTCCGTTGTCACTGTGGACTCTCCAGGACAGAGCTCAGCGAGACCCTGCTGGTTTCCTCCAGTCACAGGAGACCTCCTGGCTTTCTCTTCCAAATAATAGATGCTGCCCCTATGAAGGAAATGATTTCCCAATTTTACATGCAGAGTTATCTTGTGATTCATCTGACCGCCACGGAGTCATAACACTGTACGACATACTATCGAATAATAGTCTTGTACATGGTTTACCCAAACGTTTCTCTTAGACTCTTACTGCCATGTCCCTCTAGTGATTAAAAATAAATTGTTTCTAATTCTTATAAGTAATATCTTAATATCTATAATCACATTTTATAAGTTCAGCCTATGGTCTAATTTTTCCTTAAACTGTATCAACTAACAGTAAAACTAGTGGGACAGACAGTGAAATTCAAAAGAAACCACAGGGCACTAGTTTCCAACTTCAGCTGGTATTTCCGCCACCTGGGCTACTGACATGCCAGTTCCTGGGTCCCTCTCCTCCACCCGGAGGCTCTGGTTGGTAGGTCTGGGGAGGGGCCAGGAGCCACCTGCTTTAACAGAGCCCACCGCACACACCTTCCCGGTGACTCTGATGTAGGTGGCAACACTTGGAGCACCCTGACCTGAGACCATCTGCTATGGGCTGAATGTGTGTGTCCCCCCAAATTCACACGTTGAAATGCTAACCCCCAACGTGATGGTATTTGGGAGTGATCAGGTTTAGATGAGGTCATGAGGGTGGAGCCCTCATGATGGGATTAATGTCCTTGTGAAAGAAGAGGAGACACAGGGTCTCTCCCCTGCTCTCTGCTCTCCTCCCTGTGAGGATACAAGGAGAAGACAGCCATCCATGAACCAGGAAGGGGGTCCTCACCAGACACGGGATTGGCCAGCATGGACTTCCAGCCCCAGAACTGTGAGGAGTAAACGTCTGTCATTTAAGCCCCTCAGGCTATGGTATTCTGCAATAGCAGCCCAAACCAATGAAGACATCATCTAATCCAGCCTCCTCATTTTGCAGAAAAGGTAACTGCAGAAGGAAGTGCTTCACCCAAGTGACGGCTTCCCAATGGCACAGTTACAACCCAGGGTCTCCACTCTCCCCCAACCCACAACAAAGATCAGTTGATTCCTGCCATACTGTCATTCCTTCTCTCACTTGTTCAGACTATCAGGAGCTAGGAATACATGCCAGGTGCCATGACGGTCCCTACTCCTTTCCAAGGTCTAAGGCTGGTAGACAGAGTCCCGTTCTGAAGAATTTCTCCACTCACAGCCACTGAGTGAGTACCTACCCCCTTCCAGGCAGCATCCCAGCCCTGAGCAGCCAGCAGCCCCAGAGAGGGAGGAGCTAGATAAGGCAAAAGGCCTCACTCCCGAGCAGAACAGAGCGCAAGCCAGCCCCAGCTGTCCACTCAGCCCCCTGCACGGGGAGCAGAAGTCTGCTGGCAGATGAGACGGGAAAGCCATGCCAGGGAGAGGTGATGAGCACGGCATGGGTCCACACAGCTCAGACCGATCTCTGCCCATGCAGAGTGGACGTTTTGTGAGGATGATACTCCAGCTCTCCATGATTGTGCCACCAAAGGTTACAGAAATTCACAGTGCAACAGGCCGTGAACTGAGCATGGGGGCCAAAAGACCAAAGCAATAAAGAACAGCGACAGTGCATGGAAACGTGACAGGAGGGAGAGAAACGGAGTACTTCCTATGAGGCAGAAAGCATCTAACACACTGAGGAGAAGGGGAGAATTCAGGAATAAGAAGACAAGAGTAATACTTGCGACAGGGAACCTTACACGGTACTTGGCACGGGCTGGGGCTGTTCTTGGGACTTGGCATATATTAGTTTGTGAGTCCATAAGCAACGTCACTACGAGGTAGGTACGATTATTATTCCCATTTTTGTGAGATGAGGAAACAGAGGCACAGAGAAGTTAAGTAACTTGTCTACGGGCTGCACAGCTAACTGGTGTCAGAGGTGGAGTTGGACCCTGGCTGTTCTCAACTTTCTCTATCCCCATGCAGAGGGATCCTTGGGAGAAGCAGAGGTAGCCTTGGGCCAGAGAGAGCAGGCGCTGTCCACTTTCACAGTCCCTCCAATACTGGGATGCCCCGGCAGCCTGGCCCCAGTCAGTGCAGGAGGCTGGTGGCACCATGCCACCTTCTCTGACTGGGACCCGCCCACCAGTAGACCCCTGCCCCTAGTACCCACCCCACTCCCTATCACTGTGTCACAGCAGCTATCTCCAACCACCGCCCTGGCACTGCCCATGGCGCTGAACACCCACCAGGCACCACCTCCCCCCAACACCTCCCTTGGGGACATACACGGAAGACCCAATACATCCCCCATGCAGACACAGACACCAGGACGCCCCCTAACCGTCCCTGCTTCCCAGCTGCCTCACCCTCCACCCATTCTAGCAGCCGGCCACCTGACCCCTGAAAAGCTCTCTCCGAGTCCGCAGCCACTCTTCCTGCTTCCCCCTGACCTAGACTGACCTGGGCCCTCCCCTCCCCAACACAGGAGGCCCCCATGACGCCACAGAGGATGAGCTGGCAGATTCTTGGCTCACCAAGGCCATTTCCGGGCCATCTACTGCCACAAGGACCAACGGCCTCACCATGCTATCATCCTTAAAGGGCCCCTTTAGCCCTGCTCATCACTTGACTCACCCTCAGTGCAGACTCTGCACCCCCGGCCAACGGTGCCACCGAGCACCAACTCTGTGCGGGACTGGGCCAGGCACAGGGCTGCCACGTGAGAGAACAACAGTCCCTTCCTTCGAAGACCTCTCAGCTCGGGGACAAGGGAACCAGGAGGCTGCTGACAGCAGCAGCTTCCTGAGGGGTGTGCAGTGTGACCTGCTCCCAAGGGACCCCAGGGGCACAGCACACCGAGCAGGGACCCTCCGGTGGTAGGCAGCCCCGCCCACTGAGCTCCACAGAGCAGGCCCCCTCGCCCAGGCGAGGACGCCTTCTCTGTGGCCCTGGCCCTGTCCCTCGAGGCCCCTTTCCTCTCTGAACTTCAATGCCCTCCCCAGGGGTGCCCCCACGGCCTAGCAACCAGCTGAGCACTCTCTCCTGAGCGACCTAACTCCGCACGTCTATACCCAAACACACCTGCTGGAAGCATCCCCTCCTCCTCTTCCTGGGGCCCTAACTTCCACCTAAGCTCACCCCATCCTTCTGGGCACCCAGGCAGCACTTCAGTTATCCCCAACTCGGCCTCATCACCCACGGCACACCTTCCCCCCACCCTGCCTTACCGTCCTCCTCTCCCCCACATGCTCCATCCATCTGGACATCCCACCCCCAGCCTTCTCCGTCCCTCCACCTCCCCACCCCAAAGGCCTCCTCCTCCTCACTGCGGCTAGCCCCCTCGTGGCCACAGCCTGGCGACCACCCTCGGGCCCGCCCCACTGGCCCTGCTGCTTCTCCCGCCCCACAGCCCCTCCCTCCAGCCTGCCCTCCTCACTCAGCCTGCAGTCCACAGGAACGTTCCTGTCCAGCACCATGTCCTCTGCCCCCACCTGGGGCACCCCACCACGTAGGAACTGACCGTGCTTTCTCCATAGCACATGCCACAGGGCTGGCACACCACAGGGCACCTGGGTCCCTCTCCAAATTCATGCTTCTCAGCCCCCAAGGGGCTCTCAGCATTCCCGTCGACTCTACGACACTCCTCTGGCTGACTCAGATGCCACAAACCCACCCCACCTTCTAGACCCTGTGCAGGCTCCCCCTCCCGTTCTCCTTCATAGAGACGACACATGCCATCCCACAGGCCTCCGTCGCCTTCCTCGGGCCAGACGTCCAGTGCTCACACCCTCTTCCTACTTCAGGCCAGTTTCTCTCTCCCTCTCAAGGGGACCATCCACTGGCTTTTTAAGTACCCAAGCCTCTCTAAATTTAAAAGGAGAAAAGACCCCCACTTGACTCCTCATCTGCAGGAGCTACTTGGCTTCTCCCCTTAGCAGCTTCTCAAAGGTTCAGCCACACTGGGGTCTCTGTGCCTCACCTCCCACCCGCTCCCTCCCTCTCCAAACTGGCCTCTAGCCTCCATGCCTCCACACGCTCTCACTCTGGCTACCAAGGACACATGGAGCTGCGCCCGACAGACACTTTTCAGTCTCCCCCCCAACCTCTCTGTAAACTCAACATGATGTGCCTCCCCCTCCCGCAGCCTCCATGGGGCAGCAGCCTCTCCACTCCCCTCTAAGTGTGGGGTCCCCAAGCCCTCTCCCCTCTCCCAGGGCAATCAGACCCACCCCAAGGCCGGGGTCTCCCATGTGCTCATCTCCTGCCCACATCTCTCCTTCAAGCTCAGGGGGACCTCAAACTCAACAATCAAAACAAACTCTCTTCCCCAAAGCTGCCCCTCTCTCAGTGACAGGCTGCCATCTCCTCAGAAGCACAGGCAGGGGCAGACACAAGACGGGGCTCCCAGAGAGATTCTCAAAATCCTAATCACAACATACGGAGATTCAAAAAGATAAGGCCTCAAGAAAAGGCTATCACAAACAAGGAACAACCATGCGAAAAGAAAGTCGACAAAAACCCACAAACAACACAGGGCTGGAGGATAAATCCAGGGCTGCTTCCCCAGCAGAGAGAGGGACCAGGAGACGGGCACCCCACAGAAGAGCTAGGAGACCACGAGGGGCAACTAGGAGATCCTGAGGGGAGAAGTGTGGAACAGAGGGGAAGAAAACACAGGGGTAAATTCAGTGAAAAGTCTGTTCATCCGCACTGCATCACCACAGAGGGCAGCCAGGAAGGGTTTCCCCCAATTTGTAGGGTGTATGTGGGGTTGTATGACTTAAATTGTAGATTATGTGGAAAACACAAAATTTTCTTTGGAGAACCTTGGAGGCAACTGAAACTGAAGCCAGATTTTAGCATTTGGTGGGATGTTTGGCCTCAAGGACTTAAAAAAAAAAAAGTGGGAAAGGAGGACTGAAAGAAACTGGAAGAAACAGCAGAAGGATCCTGCAGCCACCAAAACAAAGGGAAGACTCCCCAGCCCCACCACCACAACTCAGAGGACACAGGCCACTGTGCTCAGGCCCCAGGACAGAGAAAAGCACAGCGGCTCATCACAAGTCCCAAGCCACCAGTTATGCCAAATCTCAGGGACTGGTTTGTAACCAGGCTGCTTCTGCACAAGCAACTGGTTATCACAGCCTCAGGGGACAATGGGTGGATGGGGGAGGGGATGGGGGGATGGGGAGATGGATGGATGGGGGGATGGATGGATGGGGGGATGGATGGATGGGGGGATGGACTGACTGAATTCATTAGTCATGGTCAATGTTTGCCCAATAATACCTGGTTAGCTAATTGGTCCAAAGATTAATGGATCATTTCCCAGAGCTGCAGAAAGACGGGAACTTTTAAATTCAAAGGGCCCACCAAGTGCTAAGCAGAGTAAATGAAAAAAACCCCCTTCAAATTTTCAGAGAGAAGGACCAGAATCTGCCAGCAGACATCTGAGGACAGCAGAGCCCAGCCCTCGAGGTTCCATGGCTTCTCAGGTGCTTGCTGAAGAACAAACACAGCAGCGGTGAGAAGGCAGCAGGCAGGTGAAGGCCAGCCATCCCGCTGGATGACACAGTCCGTGCCCACAGTGTGCCTGCAGACTGGCCACGCTGCCCAGGTGCAGCCAGCACCCCAAGTACCTGTGTGAGTGAGCCATGTTGTTAATCCCATCCCCGGGACTTCAAACCTGTGACGGCTCTAGAATGTGAGCGTGGCCAGAAAAAGCAGCATGTGCAGTGTCTCCATTTCAGTCTGATGGTCCACCTAGAGGAGGGGAGGTGCTGCAATGGCGCGCTTTGTGTCTGCATCTGTCCCACTGCAACTCCTGTCAGGATGAACTGGACATCCCTTATCTGGGAGCGCAGTCTCCTATCAATACCATTTGTTTGACTTCTCGGGCTGTGTTTCTTTTTATTCACCCACCACACAAGCTCTAGCCCAGTGCAGGGCTGCCTTGGGAGGAGCTCCGCCCCTTCCCTCATGTGAAGTCAGCAGAGGCACCTAAATCGTCAACCAACTAGACAGACAGGTACAATGCGGGCAATGTTCCCAGAACAAGCCTCCAATATCTGATCACACGTCCTGAACTCGAAGAACCCGATAAACACCAATAATGTGTAAACAAGCCCCCGTGCATTTCCTCTGCCCAGGCCCCCAGACATCCTAGCAGGGTGGGCTGGAGCCCAAATACACCAGGCAAGAAAAATGTCCCATGCTCTCCCTAAAAGATTTCTTGGACTTTGGGAACGAAGAACGAAGTGCCCTTTTAAAAGGACTGCTGGACAGGCAGTACCTTCTGAGTGCAGAATTTAACACCCCTCCCCTATATACCAGAGGCACTAAAATAGCTCTGCTAATACAAAGGAGCAAGCTGCTGGTTTGTCCATGTCCATTCTACAAATACTTAGGAGTGCCTTCTCTATGCAGGCACCATTCCAGGGAGAGGGAACAACAGAGACAACGGGGCCTACCCAAGGGGAACCTATCCTGGGGGAGCCTAATCTGGGGGAGCCCGTCCTGGAGAGCCTGTCCTCGGGAGCCCACCCTGGGGGCGCCTGCCTGGGGGGGGGCCTGTCCTGGAGAGCCCACTTTCAGGCGGGCCCATCCTGGACAGCCCATCCTGGACGTGCACCCCCGGGGGAGCCCAGCCTGGGGGAGCATGCCTGGTGGAGGCTGTCCTGGGGAGCCCATCCTGGGGGAGCCTATCTTTTGGCTGTGCAACAACAGCTCAGACAGAGTCCAGCAGACTGTTCCAGGCAAGGCCCTTGGACTAAGGAGCTGGATCCCAGAGGCCCAGCCCTGCACTCTTGTGACCTTGGTCAAGTGACGACCTTGGTCCCGTGTACAGCAGAGAGCACAGAGCCCCTTTACTGACACTGTGAGAATGAGATAAGATCGCACACAAGCCTGGCAGAGGCTCACCTTCCACTTCAGCTGTTGCTGTCACCCTTGCTGGTACTCCTCCATCCCTCTGAGGGACCAGCGTCCTGCAGTGTGCACCCCCTGCTGCTGGGGGTCTGTCCCCACCACGCCCAGCTCCCATCCAGGAGACCCTGCCTGAGCTATGACAGGGATCGGCAAGGGTGTGATGCATCAGCAAACTCCAGCCCTAGGAGCAGAACAGCAAGTCACACATCACGGCTGCGGTGGAAGGCGAGGCATGTCGTCACAGAGCACAACCATCATCTCACACACTTGAGCTAGATGGGTAGGCATGAACATAGGGGCTCGCCCCACCGCCCATGTCAATCAACAACAATTTGGATCAGTACCAACACAGAATAGAGAGTGAAGGGAGGAAAGGAAACCAAACATCAGAAAACTGAGAAAATCCACTCTGGCACATTTCTGAGTTCCCTAAAGTGAAGCTAGAATCCCACTCTCATTCCCTGTTCCCAAATTCCATCACCCCTTAAACCCTTATCCCCCCTTAACCCAACCCAGCTCTTCCAAGGCAAGCTGTCAGCCTAACTGCCCAGATAATCAGGCAAGAGATGCAGAACTTTCATCCACCAAAGTCCCTGGAAACATCACAACCCAAACAGAAGCAGAGTGCCCTGGTGGGCTGGGCACATGGATAGGACCATGTGATGCTCCCGGCTCAGGTCATCTTCCAGGTGTGTGACAGGTACCCTGAGGGGTGGTCCTGAGGTTCCATTGCCAGAGCAGACTGATACCTATTTATATTTAAGGAAGGAAACAATCACCAAGAGTTTTCAGACAAGGCTAGTAACTGATTGATGAGCATATGGAAAGCCCAAAAATGAAAATCCAATTATACTAAACTAATCCTAATGACATAGGAGAGGGGAGGCACTGACAGCCCATGAGCACAGCCTCCAGGTACCCCTCTTCACCCCACCTGCTTTCCTCCTGCACGCTGAGCTGTTCTCCCTGGGAGAGCTCGCCTGCATCTGTCTCCTCCTCTCCACAGCTCCTCTAAACTCCTGTCATCATCGTCTCGCCTCCTGCCACCTGACTCTCCTCCGAGGACTCCACCACCCACACGGACCCTAAATGTTCCCAAAAGCCAACTCCTCACCTTACCTTCCATTTCTGTGCAAGGCAAAGTCCTAGTGCATGTGAAATCAAGTGAAAACTGCTGTGTGTGAGTAAAGGTATAAAAGAGATAGACAGTGCCCCTTAAAGAGATTAAGGGTGTGCCTCACAGACCCTCTCATTGAACAACTGAGCCTCTAGAAGCTCACAGGCACTGTCCCTCACCCTTCAGGAGCCCAAGGTAGAGAAGGGCTTATCTCAAAGAGATTTGAGGGATGGTTCTTGTCTGGTGGAGTGAACACCAATGAGATTCACAGGAGGCCCACAAAGTTTTCCAGAAAACTGTATCAGTAAAAACACTGCCAGCCTGGACTGAAAGGGTCAGAGGTGGTAAAAACTGAAACCTGAGCACGGGATCCCAAAAATTCTACTGGAGGAAGCAGGCTGAGAAAATGACTCAATTGCAAACACATGCTATCTTTCATGGAAAGGAAAAGATGACAGAGAGAGAGGAATCAGGAGCCCAGAAGGCAGAGTGAGAGACACTGCCCCAAATCTCAAGACCTAATCAAGGAACTTCCAACATTTGCCAGGCTAGATTTCAGAATTGCTATGCACTTGTGACTCCTTTACACCTCCCATTTTCCCTTATTTTGGGCAGGAGTGTCTACAGTGGATATCCTATGTCTGTCCCAACATTGCATTTTTGGTGTGGGTGGAGGGGCTAACAGCTGGTCACTTTAGTTCAGGTCTATGTATGGAGAAGTGCACTCTAGGAGCTGTACTCAAGAAACCTTCAACAGGGAGCCTCATCCATGCCTGGAGCTGATTTAGGTGATTCTAGATTTTGAGGTGATGCTGTCATGGCAGGAACTTGGGGGGAGTGTGTTTCGTATGCGGGAGGGACATGAATCACTGGGGCCAGGGTCCCAACAATTTTGCCTCCTAGTAGGCCGCCTGTGGCAGTCCCCTCCCCTTGAGTGTGGGCTGGACCTAGCGCCTTACTTCTAACAAACAGAACACGGCAAAAGTGGTGAGATGTCACTTCCAAGACAGGTTATAAAAACACTGTGGCTTTTGTCTTGCTCACCCTGTGCCTCACTCACTCTGAGGGAGTCAGCTGCCAGGCTGTGAGCTGCCCTATGCAGCAGCCCACATGGCAAGGAACCATGTCTCTGGCCAACAGCCGGCAAGGTCAGGAGGCTTGCCAACAGCCACATTAGAGACCTTGGAAGTGGATCTTCTGAGGCCACCAACTACCATGTAAGGAAGTGGATCCTCACCCACCACAGCCCCGGCTGATATCCTGATCACAACCTCGTGTGAGACTCGGAACAGAGGACCAGCTAAGCCTCACCCCACTTCCCGACCACAGAAACTGTGAGATGACACCACTCGTAGTCATGGACTGCTGCATTTGGGGAGCGATCTGTTACACAGCAGTAGATAACTAATGCACCACATAATGCAAATATCAATGTTATCATTTGATGTGTTACCACTCCTGCTATAAATACATACAAAATAGCACTACATTTATTTCTAGGCAGCAATGCATGATTAAATATTTTTTTAAAGTGTTTCCTCAATTTAATCTGTGATGAGGTGATTAAAGAAATCATGCTGTATACACCAGAGATGACTACAGAATGGAAATAAATGGCTAATAAAAACAACTTACCAACTGAAGGCCATCCCTCTGAGAACAGGAACAAGACAAGGAAAAAAAAACACTACAACTGGACGACGACCTAATCACTCATAACTCACGAGCTAAACACAGCCCCACTTCACAAACGAAGAAACCAAGGCTCAACACCGTGCCTACAGTCACGACTGAAGACGGGGTTAGGATTCAAACCCAGGGCTGCCGTACTTCAGTCTGGGCTCTTCGCCGCAGCGGCTGCTCCCTTTCACCAGCAGCATGAGAGCAAATGTCTATGCAGAAACTGACCTCCTCTGGAGTACTTCTGCTAACGAAAATTTGCCAGGTTTTCAAAGAGTCTCTCAATTCCTTGGCAGCTTTATCTCCCAAATGTGAACATTAATCTTAAATTGAGGAAGCAGAACAGCAGCTACCAAAATTATTAGTACGCACGGTTGTTGAATAATTTATAACAGGCTGAAGAGAAGAGTACAATGTATAAAATGTTCCAGGTCAGCATTTTGTTATTAAGCAGAGTTTTTGCGTGAGTTTTTTTTAAATGTCAACTCTTGAGGTTTTAACACCTCAAGCCCAAAGAAACCAAGAGGCCAAGCTGCAGGGACACGTATCTGATGCCTGGGTTCTGGTCCCCAGGAGGACGCTCTCTTCTGCCTTCCCAGTCAGTCTCCGTTAGGAAGAGTCAGTTCATTGCTGAGCCGCCACACAGCAATTAGGGATGGAGACAAGAATTTACTCAAACAGTAAAGCAGCTCTTGGAATTAGGAAATACAACAAATATAAATAATCAGGAAAGAGGAGAAAGAAATAAGAAAGGGAGAGAAGAAATTAAAGACTGGCAACTTTAAGAACATTTCATTTCTGTGAAAACATCAGAAGAATGTACACACAATTATTACTCACAGTCTAATAATGTTAAAAGGAAATGGAATTCCAAAAATAATATAAAGTTGAAGAAATACATTTACACTAATGTCACACTTACCACATAAATAAAGTTTAAAACCCTAGCTTTAAATTCATCTGGCTCCTTCTTCCTTCAAGAGAACACATTACATGTGCATTTTTACAGCAGCGAGCCATCATACACGGGGTGGGGAGGAACCCAGGCCCAGGAGGACAAACGCAGCTTAGCTCCCCTCACCTCTCCGGCCCCCCAGGACAGCTCAGGCTACAGAAGAAGGAGGGACTGCCCCCAAAGGAAGGGAGACCCATGGACCCCGCAAGCGCCCAAAGCCTCAGAACAGAAGAGCCTGTGGGAACAGGATACCTACACCACTGCCTGAATATTTCATCGCTGGTTCCCAGAGTCCCCGCACAGGAGAAGGCCTGACACCAAGCAGCATCGCTAACCTAGCGCTTTCCCTTTTTTTAATGCAGAAGAAAGTCTAGATTTAGCAGAAAAGATATTATTTTAAATTACAAAGGTCCATTTTTCTGGTTCAAAAGTATTAATATATTGTATCTTTCTGAGTGATTCTCCTCCTTTGTAATGTAAAGTTTACATCAAGCAAAATCCATAGGATAACCAATGAAGAGAAACAAATGTTCACAAGCTCTCTCATCTAAAAGAAAGAAAGAAAAATCTAAGACCTCCAACGATTGGCTGGGTTCACACAATGCCCTGAGGATGACACAGACCACCTGCAGTCTCAAGGGACTCAAAAGACTCATACATTGCGAATCAGGCACCCAGGTCCAGAAGAACCATCTCCCAATCACACACGGGGCCCCAGTCACTGGCCTGACCCAGGGACTCTTTCCTGTCACTTTGCATTACAGACAGCCCCCCCTTATCCGCAGTTTAGCTTTCTGCTGTTTCAGTTACCCTCGATCAACTCTGGTCCAAAAATACTAAATGAAAAATTCCAGAAATAAAAAATTCATAAGTTTTAAACTGCGTACCATTCTGAGTAGTGTGATGAAATCTCACGCCATCGCCTCCAGGACATGAACCATCCCTTTGTCCAGAGGATCCACGATGTACACGCCACCTGCCTGTTAGTCACTTAGTAGCCATTTTGGTTATCAGAGCGACTGTCACGGTATCACAGTGCTTGTGTTCACATCACCCTTATTTTACTTAATAATGACCCTACAGCGCAAGAGTAGTGACGCTGGCAATTCGGATATGCTGAAGAGAAGCGCAAAGTGCTTCTTTTAAGTGAAAAGGTGAAAGTTCTCAACTTAATAAGGAAAGAAAAAAAATCAAATGCTGAGGCTGTTAAGATCAATGGTAACTTTTACTACAGTATACTGTTATAATTGTTGTTTTTTGTTTTTTTAGTGATTGTTGTCTCTCACTGTGCCTAATTTATAAATTAAACTTTATCATAGGTACATACGCATACGAAAACACATAGTATATACAGGGTTCGGTACCATCTGTGGTTTCAGGCATCACTGGGGGTCTTGGAACGTACCCCCCATGAATAAGGGGGGACTAGTGTACTCTCCAATGTGTTGTGCTTAACAAAGATACCGAGGTAGGTGCATTTTGAAGTAACTTTTTGTTCACATTAAGAACTTTCTACCCACGAAGGAATTTAAGAAAGGTCTCAATTAAGGAAAGCAGCAGCTCAGCAGAAGGAAGGCGGCCAGATACCCAGGTGGGAGATGGCGGTGATCGCAGCGAAGATAGGGAGCAGGAGACAGGGCGAGGAGGAGAGGCTGGCTGGGGGGCCTGCCAGCACCCTGCTGTCCCTGCCACCAGGCAGGCCAGAGGTCCAGCGCTCAGCTCGCTCCCTCTCCTGCTCGCACCACGCCTCCTGCTGCACTCCTAATGCCAACTCGCTTTCCCAGCACGTCACCCTGCTCGACCGCGTGATGCTCCCCTGCTCTCACAGGATCCAGCCTTAACCCCCCAGCCTGCCTTCCAAGGCCTCCCTCACTGGGTCCCAGCCCAAAACTCAACGTCCACCTCAGGCAGATCCATCCTCATTGCCCCACGATTTTCCTGCTCACTCATTCATTTGCTCACTCATTCATTCACTCAATAACTGTCAAGTGGCTTCCACAGCAGCACCGGGTAGACAATTACAAACAAGAGACCAGTGATGGCCCTGTCCTCCCAGGGCTAGCTGCCCCTGGGAGAAAAGACAACTCAACAGGCCAATGCCACCACACACGGAAGGTCCGGGAGACACACAGGAGGGCATCCACAGTCCTGACTCCATGTGAGAAATTACTCTCCCATGAACATACCCTCTCTCCCTCCCTCCACTGCTCCTTGGCTCAGCTCAGACCCCACCTCCTCCTTGAGAACCCCTCCAACTTCTCCAATCCTCACCAACCCCCCAACCAGACCAGTAGGCCCCACTCTCCGGCTGTGTCTGCCATTCATTCATCAGCCCCTCGCTTCTCACCACACAGCCTTCCTTGTCTAAGGTAGTGCTGTGGGCACACACACAGGCATTGGTACACACACAGGCTCTGGGTACACATGTGGGCTCTGTGTTCACACACTCTGAGTACATATGCGGCCTGTGGGTTCACACATTTTGAGTATACATGAGGGCTGTGGGTACGTACACTCTGAGCGTACAGGCAGGCTTTGGGTACACACACTCTGAGTACACATGCAGGCTGTGGGTTCACACACTCTGAGTGTACAGGCGGGCTGTGGGTTCACACACTCTGAGTACACATGCAGGCTATGGGTACACACCCTCTTGAGTATACAGGCAGGCTGTGGGTACACACACTCTGAGTACACACGCAGGCTGTGGGTACACACGCTCTCAGTACACATGCAGGCATCAGGACAAGAGACAGGTTTGAGGGGAAGCACTGTGAGGGGCAGGAGGACCCCAATCTGTGAGCAGAGAAGTAGAGCCTGGCAGCATAAGAAGCTGGAAGGAACTATCAGCTCAGGGTCCACCTGCCACAGAGGTAAGATACACACAGGTTGTGAACTCCAGAAATCCTAACTGTGCGGAAGCACGGCACCAACCAGAAGCTCAGACAAAGGCCAGGAGCCAAGCCCCACCTTGCTCCCACCCAGCCCCACACTGCCAGGACTGAGCCCAAGGGGGCTCAAAGAGTCAGTCAGCGGGCAGCCCCGCCCGAGAGCTCCCGGCTTGCTCCGGGCACCAGCCTGGTGATTACCAAACTTCGGGAAAAGGAAGGAGGACAAGCTGCAGATACCCCCTGCCAGGATCTATAGCTGACTGAACCGCGGGGCGTTTTCTGATTCCAGAAACAAATTCTAGCTCAATAATCTTGAAATACTGAACGTTAAACCATCCCAATTTTCCATTCCCATTATTATTTGACTTTCCCTTTTTATCTCAACTTAATATTTATTTCTGTTTGTGGTTTTTAAACCTGGGCAAAGTGGGACTGTAAATAGAATTGCTGGATTCAGCAAGTAAAAATACAGTTAAATTTGAATTTCAGATAAAAGATGAATAACGGTTAGCATAAATATTGCACAGCATACTTTATCCAGCAAATCTACGAAGGGACCGATGAGGCTGCGTTTCCTGCAGGGCTGTGCTGCAGCACTCACGGCCCGATTCAGTCTCCCTGAGCTCCTCCTTGCCGGAGCCCGGCTGTCTCCCATTACCCCCATCACCCCTCCCGAAAGGGGCAGACCAAGGACAGGAGGGGGCAGACCAAGGACAGGAGGGGGCAGGCCAAGCCCTGGGTCCCCTGCCCTGCCTGACCCCGGCCTCACTCCATCCCCTGCCCTCACCTGCCTCCTCACCGCACCCCCAAACGCGCAGGAAAGACTGAGGACAATTTTCCTCATCAACAAATGGGTCTTATTTCAGGCCTCCATGAGATCCCCTACCCACACAGGAATTTGGTCACTCCCTATGGGATTCGGAGGAAACAGCAATGGAGCAGAGCGCTGTATTGTCCTTTGTCTAGTCTTTCACTAAGGCTGAAGGCACTCTTTCTGCTCTCTGTGTCTTTCCAGTTACTCTGGGGAAGACAAGAGAATCTGCAAATGCACGAAGTCCTGGGTGTCCCCTTTAGCATGGAGCGTGTGAGGAGAAGGTGCGAGCCTCAGTCCTGCCCACAGGGCGGCCGGGGACAGACCCCATTCAGAAGCAACAGAGGCAGGGTGGCCAGAGGAGGTCATGTGAGCAGGAGGCCCCATCCCGCCTCACGACCCCACATGGCTCCTCACCCCAGGTCCCGGCAGGGTGTCTTAGGCTGAACAGTGGCCCCAAAGAGGTCAGGGCCTAATCCCCAACACCTGGAAATGTGACCTTATTTTAGAAAGGATCTTGGCAGATAGGATTAAGTTAAGGATTTTGAGATGGGGTGATGATCCTGGATTATTCAGGTGGGCCCGAAATGCAATCACAAGTATCCTTATAAGAGGGAGTGCAGGGGGAAGCTCAGACACCAGGGAGAAGGCCACCTGAAGACAGAGGCAGAGATTGGAGCCATTCGGCCACAAGCCCATGACTGCTGGCAGCCCCAGAAGCTGGAAGAGGCAGGAAGGAGCCTCCCCTAGAGCCTCAGAGGGAGCACGGCCATGCCCACACCTTGATTTAGACTTCTGGCCTCCAGAACTGGGAGAGAACACATTTCTGCTGTTTTAAGCCACCCAGTTTGTGGTGCTTTGTTACAACAGCCATAGCAAACTAAACAGGGGTGGGCCCAGGGAACCCTCCTCCTGCTGGGGCCCAACTGCCCCACCCTCACAGTGAGGAAGCTGACTGGCTGCTAACTGCTTAACTCCACAGAACCGTGCATCTGTTTGGACTCCAGGCAACTAGGGATGCAGGGCTCTGGCAAGCAGGGCAGTCTGGGCACCCCAATTTGCCCAAATGCCTCCCTGGGAAAATGTGTCCCAGACTTGGCTCTGCTGGACTATGCTCAGGAGGAGCCACGGAGCCCACAGCCTGGCCCGTAGTATGGTCTTGAGATAGATGTGCTAAATGAAGGTCTAAGCTGCCCACCCAGGTACTTCCAAAGGCACATACCCACTCACGGCAACAACACTGCAGGCCTGGACGAGACATCCTGAGCACCATCGCTAATGCTACCGAGAACATCCTGTGTCAGACACAGTTCCCACCATTTTAGACATACCATCCTAGTTAATCCTCACAACAGCCTCATTACCCCTATTTTACAGATAGAAACTGCGGCACAGAAAAGTAGTTTGCCCAAGGTCAAACTAGATAATGGAGGTGGGGTGAAGAATATAGCACCAAAAGGCAGTGATGTGCATCTTTGTCTCTCACCCCACAGGAGGAGCCCTACGCCTAGCAAACTCGCACCAGGCCCAGGGATCACCCACCTCTGGGGGGGTCAAAGAAAAAC